AAAGAGCTTTGTGGGGAGCAGAAGTGAGGCCGCCTAAAAAAGTTTAGGCTAAAATAGGGGTGAAGAGGCCTTTGGAATGGCAAATTCGGGGAAGAAAAGRCTTTTAGGGGGGTAAAGAGGCTTTTGGAGCAGTTTTGAGCCGTGAAGAAGCTTTTTAGAGGCCGGTTTTGATGGGCAGTGACACCTCCACCCCCGCATCCCTCAGGAAAACGGGGAAAAATCCGCAGGAAAGGGAGCACTGATGTTTTTGGGAGCCTCGGGGGGGTCCGGCTGCTCCGTCCGTCCTTCCCTGGAATTCTGAGGAGGGGTCACTTCACCCTCCCCCGGGACATCCCCCCCTTTCCAGAGCTCATTTGGGGCACCCTGACTTGGCAAATCCCAAGATTTTCCCCCAATTCTCGCACCTGGATGCGGCAAAACCCTAAAACTTGACGGTTTCACCCCAAATCTCACCCTCCTGGTGAGAAAAAAAAAAAACTCCCTCGTTTTCTTCGGGGGTCCAGCGCCGAGAGGGGCGGGTGGGAATTTTGGGGTGACCCTTGGGAACCGTCCCTGCGCCGCTCCCTGCCCTGAAGGATGGGAAAACGGGGTAAAAACCCCCCAAAATTTTGTCAAAATCGGGATTTCCTTTGTGGTTTTGCGTCACCCTAAAAAGCCGTCGGGACGAAGCTGCACCGCGCCGGCCCCGCCTTTTTTTTGGGGGGGATGGGGAGGATTTTGGGGGGGCTCCGGGGGGTTTTTTGGGGGTGCTGAGCTCTCACCCTCTGTGTTCTCTTGCAGATCCCCCCAATTCTTCCTCCTCTTCCTCCTCTTCCTCCTCCCAGCCCGTTTCTCTCTTTGCGGCTTCACCAGGCAAGTCTCCCCCTCCTCCTCTTTTCCTGCACCCCCAAAAAGAAAAATGTCTTGGGGGGTGGGGGGCGGGGAGCATAAAACAGAACCCCCCGAATTTGGGGAGGGTCCTCAGAGCCATTTTGGGGACACCCAGAGCTGTTTTGGGGTTCCTTAAGGTTGATTTGGGGCCTCGATGCCACAAAAAGAGGGGGATTCTCCCTGAAATAATCCCAGAAATTTGGGGTTTGTCCTGTGGGGAGGGGGCAAACGCTGCTGAGCACCCCCTAAAATGCCAACAAAAGGGTTTGAAGGGGTGAAATTTTCCAAAAAAAAAGACATTTTTCTTTTTCTCTTCTTTTCTTGTTCTTTAACTCGGTTTCTTCTCTGCTTTTTGGGGCGACCCCTCCCCAGCTTTGCCCCTCACCCCCCTCCTGCACCCCAAAACTGCTGCTCCCCCCCCTCAGCTTTGCACGGCCCCCTCCCCCCATCCCCCGCTGCTGCTGCTGCTGCTGCTGAAGGACAAAAATCGTCGTTTTTTGTGGTTTGGCCTCAAAATTCCCTCTCCCCTTTCCCTGACCCGCCTGCGCCGTGTCCCACCCGCCGCCGTCGGGGGCTTCGTGCGACCCCCCCGGGCTGAAATTGGGGGAGAGAGACCCCAAAATCCCMCCCAGAAATGAGGAAAAGGCTGAATGTCACCCCCAGCCTCATTTCACACCCAAAACTGGGGGGTTTGACCCCAAAATTAGCGGGTTTAGCCCCAAATTGAGGTTCCTCTCCAGTTTGATGCACCCAAACCTGAGGGTTTTGGGATTTTCTGCACCTNCCCCTCCTCGTTCTCAAGAACCTCCCCAGAGCCCCCTCCCCTCATGCATGGTGACCCCAGGACTACAACTCCCATGGTGCACCGCGCTCTCCGGCGCCGCTTCKCCTTCTGCCGCTGCTGCCATGGCAACTGCGGGGGCTCCCCCCTCGCTCTGCGCACGCGCTGTGGCGCCGAGCTGCGGCGGGAGGGCGGTGCGCGGCCATTGCCAGGCGCTGATTGGCCTAGACGCTCTGACCCCGCCCACCTGCAGCAGGTGCGGGGCTCTGATTGGTTGGATTCCATCGGCCGCGCCCCTCCCGGCACCGCCCCCCCCGCAGTCGGGGCGCGGCCGCCGCCCCGCACGGACGCGCTTCCACCGCGCTCCGCCGCCGCCGACGCCGCCATGAGCGATTCCTCCGCGCAGTTCTCGTTCGTCTCCTCCTCCACCTCCTCGTCCTCCTCCGTGTCCTCTTCCTCCTCCGTGCGGCCCCAGGCCGGCGGCTGCGCGGGCGGCGGTTCCATGTCGTGCGCCGGTAAGGGCCGGGCGGGGCCTGCGGGGCCTCAGGGGCGTGAGGCCTCGGCGGGGGCGTGAGGGAAAAGAGGCCTTTGGGCGCTGGGTGTGAGGGAAAGGCGGGGAGGGAGGGCAGAAATAGTGATGTAAAGACCTTTATGGGGCGGTTCTGAGGGGCAAGGAGCCTTTGGGGGTGACAGATGTGGGGGGAAGCGGATTTGGGGGGCAGATGTGAGGTGAAAAGTCTCTTAAAACGGGTTAGAAATGGCGGGGGTAAGCGCTTCAGGGGGAAAAGGGATAGAAAAGCCTTGGAAGTGCAGATTTGGGGGGCAGAGACTTTTAGGGGGGGATTTGGGGGCAGTGAGGCCTTTTGGGGGTGGATGTGATGTAAAAGAGCTTTGTGGGGAGCAGAAGTGAGGCCGCCTAAAAAAGTTTAGGCTAAAATAGGGGTGAAGAGGCCTTTGGAATGGCAAATTCGGGGAAGA